TAAAAGAACTTCATAATTTCATATCACAACGGCCCTTCACGTGTTGTTCATCCTTCATAGTGTCCTGGTCTGCCATACATTTATTGCTCATATAACACAACACTAAAGTTCTCATACTCCATGACGATTTCAAGTAATTCCAAATAGATTGTGTATATATCCCATCATAAATATTTAAATGAACTCAAACATACTTGATTTGAAAATAAATAGATATTTGGAAATAGATTAAATCTCATAATAATTCATGGTTTCGTTTATCTAAAAATAAAAAAGCTTTTAAACTATTATATAAATCACTACCTCGACCGATAACTAAAACCTCAGCAGGACAACTCACCTACCGCTCTTCACAAAGGGGCCTCACTTTCTTTTCTCCCAAACTACATAGATAATATATATAAAATATGCCTCTATGAACTAACACTCTGAATGCAAAACCATTCCTTGGTTCCTAAGTTAATTTCCTATACCAATCGACGTGCTTGTTTGAAAACTGTGTGAGGAAGGTCCCTATTTTGAAAACTAGCATGAGGCGGTTCCAAGACTTGCTAAGGAAATAAAGGGCTGCTACATATATAATATAAGGGAATTTTAACGAAAAACCCACAGTACTATTCACTTTAACGAAAAATCCACGGTACTGTTCACTCTAACGAAAAACTCACGGTATTGTTCACTTTAACGAAAAACCACATTTATACACTAAAAAGTCAATCCTAGTACTATTCACTTTACCCTTTATTTTGTCCTTATCATTAAAACTCAAAGTTTTTAAACCATTTTCATTAGTTTTCCTTATAAAATATATGGATAATGAGTCACCACTGGCATGTGTCAAATTAAGGGCATGGAACTGTATATTGAGGAGAGGAGATGACATCTAACTAAGTAATTAGTCTATTATTGGTTGAATGGTGGCGAGTAAGATGTGTTGAAAGATTTGAATCGGGAAACACGCATCCAGCTCAATATGGCGCTTACAAGCACCTGAGAAATGATGGAAGATAACAACTCATTCTAAGCCCCCCACGTTCGTAAGGCTCCATTTGTTATTAATTTTTTTTTCCATCAAAATTAAGCTCCTTCACTTTAAAATTAAGTAATAAAAAAAATTCGGTAAAAATAAATATTCTGCTTATTTTAAAAGCATTGTTCTAAAAATTGGCCTAGCCACTAGGCGGTCAAGGCTACCCAAGCGCTAGGCGGTGAAGGCCCGCCTCGATTTAGTGCAAATTGTTTCGAAAAATCAGTCTAGAGCTAGGCGGCACCTAGGTGGCCCTAAGCGGTTTTCTATATATATTTTTTTTATTAATTGTGTGCTTTTTCTTCTTTTAGTTTTATGGCGGTATACTTATGGAAATGGTATACCTAATTTGCAAAGGATGGATTGACTACAAGTCCATCCAATTGTGAAGTGAATTGTAGCGCTTTTGAGTGGATACATACAAAGAAAAGAAATAAACTAGATACAACAAGGTTAAATAATTTAGTCTATATCCAATCCAAGAATACTCCTCATTAGGATTATATGCTTACTGTTTTCTAAATATTGAACTTATTGGATCGATGTACTTTGTGTATTCTTCTACTTCTATTTTTGCATTTTGTCATTCTTTTATAATCCATACAAGTATAATTACTATTTTTTTTTAAATGTAAATAGACACTTATTTACAAGATATACAATAAATTTACATAAATCTGCCTAGACACCCGCCTAGCCGCTTAGGCCGCCTAGATGTTAGGCCCTTACCCACCACCCGACTAGCGCCTAGCGGTTTTAGAATCTTGTTTAAAAGTAACATGTCACACCCCAAACTCGGGGTTGGTGGAAAAATATATAAGACCCCGTGCTTGGAACGCGAATAAAAGGAAATTGAAACTAGGTAGAAAAATATGAAATTCCTCTTACAACAAGAATTGATAATTCTTTACAAGACTAAAATAATTTAAAGGAAATTGACACAGGTTGGAAAAATAAACTTCTCTTATAAAAATAATTCATGATTCCTTACAAGACTAAATAAATAAATAAATACAAATTCTATCCTCACACTTAATTTGATCTCATCCTGTCTACCCTTTTTGATTGTTTAGTTCATAAACCTGCCTAACAATAGAGGGGTGAGCTTCAACAGCTTAGTAGGGACATCACCTTGTCACAGTAATTGACAATATTAAATTAAGTGTCATGAAATCATATAGCCAAATATCAAATCATTATTGCTAATAATGCATGAATGCAATGCAACCTCTTCAATTACCCTCGTTAATTTATATAATAAAACACGCAGACTTGCATGTCCCATACCATGCATTTTACCTCTGCAGTGGTGGTTCAAATGTTCTAATATACAAATTAACCCCCTATAACTCAATCATCCCAATTTCTCCTTTTCTTAGTCATCTTGCCAAAACTCTTCGTCGCCAATCCCGAATTACCCTCAAAGAAACTATGCACTGTGGGCTCGCCTGAGACTTGGTACCTACTAAGAGTTTGGCTCAACTACACAAAAGATCATTTCCAACTACCCTCATTTCCAATTCCTTCTCACCACTGAAACTCCAACCACACGACCAATTATGAATGATTCACAAATACTTTCATTTATCATTCACATATACCATAGTATATTCTCAACCAATAGCATTTCACCAATAATTCCATAATCAACATGGTATTGTTATGTAACATGCGAAATACAGAACATAAGAGGCTATCACTAAAGAACAACATGAATAGAAAGACTTTTCTATAAAACTAAATCAGCAGTATGAACGAATTCAAATACATATGCATAACGATGCCCAACAACCCCTTTTTAGTTTAGATACAAACATTTATAATTTATTAATAACATATAGAGATATGAGACAAATAAGGAAGACGAAAACCTAGAAAGGAAAACTCTTTAAACCTAAGAGAGAGTAGACCCCGATAGAAAACGTTTCATCTTGCCAGCGAAGAAAACCGAAGCAATAACATTCTATTTATAGGAGAGGGAAGTCGGCATAGAGGAAGGTGAGATCAGACCAAGCAAACTTACACCGCCTAAAAGCTATCGATAGGAATGATGTAAAAGCCCTTTAATTGGCTATGGTTTTGGTCCAATTAGAATAGAACAAACATCTTAATAAGATTATGTAAAAGGAAAGAAAATGAATAATATAAATATATAGTTCAAATACTACCGTAATGGTGTACTGAACTTATTTGGTTCAAAATAATAGTAAATTAGAGTATAGAAAAATGAAATAAAGGAATTAACGATTAAATAAGAAGTAATACAAAACTTTCTGAAATTAATAAGTATATACAACACATAATTATATATAATTATTTTTGAAAATACAGGTCCTCAAATACTAGCCTCCATATAGTAGCTTTTAAAAGCAGCATGTAGATTGTATTTAAAAGCTCCTTTTATAAAAAGTGAAATTGAGTCTTTAATGAATATTTTCAATTCTTGTAATACCCTCGTTAGTTCTTAAAAATGACATTATTTATTCATTTACTCACATTTATCCATTCAAGAACAAAGTGACTGCACCACCCACCACTATATACACTAACCTTACACCACCACCATCATTACCACCACAATTGTTGCCACCACCACCACTACCTCAATTGTCACCACAATCACCACCACAATAGCAACCGATACCACCACCATCGTTGTCGACACTCCCACCATCATCACCAGCATAACTTCAACCCGTCCCCATGGCCTCTACCATCTCCCCGACCACTATTGTTATATTTGCACCCCAACCACCACATCCCACTATTGCCGCTGCCACCACCATACTTCCACCAATGCCACGACCATCACCACCATTGCCATCGCCGTTGTTGTCGTCACCACCACCCCACTACCATATTCATTTTGTCATTATAAAAAATTATATTATTTTCACTTTAAATTCACCAAACAATTTTGCACTGTTTTTCATAATCACTACATTTTTAAATATGTAGTTTATCATACGCTCATCTACTTTATTTTACATTTGATTATTCTTACAGCACAATAAAAACAGTTTTTTTTTTTTTTTTTTTTCGTTTTTATTTTTTATTTTTAACACAACAATCCAAATATGGCCGTAAACTTAAGCATGGTTCTATACTATGGATTGGTATAGTATAGAATGATATGATGCCGGCAACTAAAAGGCTAAATAAAAATCTTAAAAGATGGTAGTAGGTTATATAGGGCTTAACTAACAAGAAGTATTCTAAAACTTAGCTTGAAGTGAATAAAATAATAATAATAATCTAAATATACTGAGCTTTACAGCTTTTCTTTAAAAAAAAAAAAATTGTACCTAAATTAATTATAAAGGTTGATGTCTAGGTTAAGAAAGATGATGATGATGGTGATGGTGATTTAATTACTTGCAGGGGCCTATGGTAAATAATGGATACAAAATAGGAAGGTTGGGTTTGGAGGGAAGTTCCCAGTCCCCACTGGGCCAATGCTATGACCTGTCACTTTAAGCTTGGTGGGCGAATGGCCTAGTACATTGCCCTCGCTCATCCCATTTCCCAGTTCCCACTGGGCTAAAAGCCAGCAGTAATGTTTCACAATGTTTTCATGTGGTACCACATGCCCCGACAGTAACTTCTACAATCAAATGCTTAAATGACATCTACTGCCACACCCTCCAGTCTTTTATTTAATATATGTATTAGCATCGAGCTCGTCATTCATGATATTTGAACCTAAAATTTTTCACTTATAAAAAAATTTCACCTAACCATTGTACTATGTAACCATTTAATGATGAAGTTAACTCAACTAAACTAAGCTATTATTGATGTAAAACTTTCTATCTTAACAAAATTGGACAACGCAAGCATGCGTGTTTCTAACTAAAGAGAAACGAATTACATAAAACAGGTTCACTATAATGTCCCAGTTCAGACAAGTTGCTCTAAAGTGTAAGTTTTTACATCATTTTTTTAATTACTTTTACAGGGTGGTACCAATTGAAAGACTGATAAAATCAAATATTTATAGAACAAAACAATCTGTATTAAGATTCATAGGTTACATGACCCACATTAAATCTCTTCGATAGCAAACATAAAAACATCACAAAATACCCCTTTTTGAGAGAACGTTTTACCTTATCACCAGGTGTATACACCAATGCCCTCTCTTATCACATGACTTGGTCACATGAGCACGGCTGTACATTTAGTGCCTCTTTGAGGTCACTCTCCCCTGTTCAAGTGATTGATTTCAAAAAATCCCTGTCATGTCCTAATTACACGGATGTTGCCTCTTTCCTTGCGAAATTGTCCGTAGGATAACACATCCCTATGGTCCAGAAGAAACAGATTTTCCAGGTAATGCTTGAACCATTATGTACCAGCAAAAGTTGTTTCCCCTCATTCAAATACTTAGAATCATCAACCTTACGTTTTAACGGCGTGAACATGAAATGTAAGTCACTCTATAACAAGTCAAGTACGTAGTACTACTCTATACTGCATCTCGACTAAGTTTTGTACATACATGGAGGTGAAGAGTCTCTAGCTTCCAACACCAGCAGCCCCTCCTGGTAGTATCAAAATAAAACATCTAGAGCTAGTGTATATCTCTTGCTAATCTTGCCTGCCACCTAAAAGAGCAGAAAATAACAAACTCAAACCTTATATTTGTCTAATCCACAGCCTTAGACACAAGTTTGTACTTCATGGAACGTAATTCTGCTTCAGCATCTAGCCACAACGTTTTATACACTAGAGCTTGTGGGTCTAACTCTTCAGTGGTCAGACGATTGCCTCTCAACGCGTTGCCCATACTCCGCATCTAATCATTACAACTGTGAACTTTCAGTTTCCAAGTAGAAACAACATTTAAGCACTGATATGATAATTTATAGCATTTGGTCACAAATTATACCTGAATGATCTCATTGCTTTCCTCAGTGTCTACACCACTATGTGAAGAAAAGGAATCCAACACTCTCAGTGTATAGCAATTCTGGTAATCAAGCTCATGTGGAACAGCCAAAGCCTTTGTCCTTGTTACTTGAAATCCCGTGTTTGAGCACTGAAATACATCATTTAGACTCTGAGACCAACATACCATACACACATGCATGCAGTCTCGAGCACAATAACCATTAGCAACCAGAAAACGTTAGTTATAATAAAATTATGTGATGATGTTATTACCGTCAACCAGCTCCAGGGCGGATACAGATCAAACTATAACGATTAGTATTACGGTAAGCAATAACATTAAATAAACTAACCTGATAAATAAAGGTATGTATATGAAGGTTAATGCTCTCACAGAATGAAAATCAAGTAATCAACACAACAGAAGTATGAATTCAAATGTAAGTACATGTAGAAATTGATATGACAAGGAGTGCAAAATTTATATTTTAGCACACGAGTAAATTGCACAAATATCTGCCTAGAAATTTGACAGTGTTCAGTACGAATCAGATTCAAAATGTAAAACAGGAAAACAAAGTTCAGTATCATATTCACACCAGATTCGCAAAATTTATGGACACGTGCACATAACCCTACCATTTGGAGCTCTGTTGATTTATTAGGGTAGTGTGGAGTGCCTGTAAGAGTTATGTCAGAGATTGGAGTCTTTCCTCCAGGCCTCTGTTGGATGCACATAGAAAGATTTGTGATTATATGCTGGATCGTGTCATGCTTATGTTCATCCAGTGAATCTAAATCATTTGGACAATTTTGGACAAGCAATTCTGACATTTCATGCATCACATTAAGTATTGGAAGACTGATTGGCACAAATCAATCCACTTCATGGTTGTCATGCTTATGACCGTAAGCTCTTTCCACTTCATGGTTGTCATTGGAAGACTGATCGGCATAAATTGATATGGAAGAATTTGATCCTTCTGCATCAAAAGGTCCATGCCCCTTGGAGAATGAAACAACAGCTGAAGGTTCACTCTTTTGGAAGGATGAGAAACCATCTCCCACACACTCGCATGATAATGTACAATCGTTTTAGCATGGCAAGGAAAAAATTGTTGTGTCAGTGGATTCAAACTATTACGCGTTTCTTGTTCATTTTCAACAGTCTGAACTCAAAGAACTTGAAAACCCAAATGAGGATTGCCAAGAAGCCAAGGTTCCTTTCCTACAAGGTGAATCCAAGTCAGAGTCATTCACGCAAGAGAAACATCTCTTTTAAGGCCAAGATGTTTCGAGCTGAAATCATCAGATATACTGGTTAAAATAATTAGTGGCTCAGATTTTGCCAGTAGTAATGGACCTATACCCTCACTAGAAAGAGCTTTGCCAGCCTTCATTTCCTATATCATTGGGACTTTCATCACGGTGAATCCCTTTGCCTTCACCAGAGAGCAGGTGATGAAGATCCACATAATCGTTCACAGAACAATTGCCTTTAAAATCCACATTCTTTGACAATACGGGATTCAAGGGAGAAACTGGAAAAGCATTATGTTTAGGTGAATGGAAAGCCAGAGATTTAGCTGTTTAAGGATCAAATTTTGTTAAGCCACTCTCGCAAAAAGCAAATTTGTAACTACAACCGCTCCAAGTCATTGCCAGTGCAGTATATGGTAGCTGAGTTTGAGAAAATTTTCAACCATTGGTGTAGATGAAGTACCTGAATTAACCCCTGAAAAAAAAGAGAATAATTCAGCATCTGCTTGATTTTCTCTTCCTATTGTCAAATCGCCACACTCTCCTCGAACAATTTCAGAATTGTCAACATAGAGAGCTTCGATCCCTTAACAGCAGCATTTCCTGTGCAGAAGCATGTTATGTATGAGGCTCTTACAGTATTGATTTCACAACAACAGTGGCCTCAAAAAGAAACTTTCATTCGTTAATACACTCTATTGATCATTTTTTTTCTTCCATACGAGATGCAGAGGACCACACACCTTAAGTAACTCGCGTAGGAAACATGCATAGTAATAGCTAAAAATTTCTGAGTTATTCGAGCCCAAAAAACAAAAGATGTCACCAAAAGCCATTGTTATCCTTGGTCAATCATAAACATTAAACAAGAACATTGCCGCCACAGGCACATACTAACCACGACTGTGTCCGGAAGGGTGTATTCGAGCGGTTCGACGAAAAGGGTTCAGCTAAAGGGGACAAACGGGATGGTTTTGCAGAAGATGAAGCTCCTCATCCATGATCACCCCCCTCCATTTATATGGAAATCAAGTTTTAGTCAAACCTGCTCAAAACCTCTTGCCAAACAAAAACCCAAAAATCCAATGGTCAGATCGAAGCAAGAATCCATGGCCTACAATGGTGCTAATTGTTAAGCTAAAAGAAGTAATCTTTTGTGCTTTTTTTGTTCGTGGGAAGTGAAAATTTGAACACTTTTGAGCTACCCATTTGTTTGCACATTAATAAGCTAAAGAAATTTTAAGCTTGGAAAAGAGTGTAAATTCAGAACATAGCTACTTCAGAGAAGGCAGAGACTTGCAGAGCAGAGGAGGAGGAGGAGGAGGAGGAAGGTCGGTCGATTTTTCTTTTTATCTTTGTATTTTGTACACTTTTGGCTCCTCAAGGACATGGACCTCAACTATGTCTCTTCGTGTTAATCGACTTTTTCTTTGGTCAAAGTGCAGTTCAATCCTACCACTGTACCGTACCACACGCAAATTCCGAATGTATGTTCAATGAAACGTAATCTTTGAAAAAAAAAAAAAAAAAGGAATATTGGATGTCTGAGCGATTCTACAAAACTCAATTGTTGAATAAACAATTTAAAAGGTGATGGGTAATATGAGGTGTCTACGTTTGATCGGTTTGAATCAAGGCTTAAATGTCAAAATGATCCCTGTATTATAGGTATATGACTAATTTTGTCCTCGTGTTTTCAATTTGGCTAATTTAGTCATCGTATTTTTCTCTATTAACTAATTAAGAACATTTCATCCAATCTCTTTTAAAAAAAAATTCATAAAAAAAAAAATCATATGAGATATAATTACTCTTTATCTTTACAAAAAAATGCAAATCAATGAGAAATAACACATAAGAGATAAAACTTCCAATCTGAAAAATGATTAAAGGTTGTGACATAGAAAGATAAGGGGTAATGTTTGAGAGGAAGTCGCCCGGGGGGCGGGGGGGGGGGGGGGGGTTTGGGGTGGGTTGGGAGGGGAATAATTTTTCTTTTAATTTTTAGGGGGGGGGGTTGGGAGGAGAATAATTTTTCTTTTAATTTTTAGTTTTATTTCATTTTTAATATTTTAAATCAAATCAATTATAATTTTATAGATAAGTTTATAATAATTTATAAAAAAAAATTTACAAAAATTAGATGGAAATGTTCTTAAATGGCTAAATGGAGATAGACACAAGGACCCAATTGGCCTAATTGAAGACACATATAATAAATTGACTCAATGACTAAAACACATGGACTATTATAACATTTAAGCCTTGAATCAAATTTAGGTTTCATTAATTTAGCCATCATAATTTTTCAAGCACTCATTTTTTTTCTTCTTGTATTTTTTTTTCTCCTGAACGGTTATATTGGAAAAAAAATTAAAGAACACTTGACAAAGAAAATCAATGCACGACTGCACAGTAAAAATATTTAAGTTTAACTAATGAGCAATAAAAAAAAAATTCTATTTGGTAGAAATTCATACAACATTTGATATTATTTTAATGGGTTCGATTTCTCTTCTCTCCTCATCTTTATTCTCTTTATTCACTTAATTTTTAAATCTCATATTGGCATGTGTCAAATATAAGATCATGCGGCTCCAAACGATTTTGAGTCCTTTTTTACTTCTTTACAATAAACGGGTTCACTTTTTAATAACATAACTAGTATATATAAATCATTGATAAACTAGTATGTATAGATGCGAATTAATCTAATTTTCTAAAGAATTAATCATTAAAAAAAAACATGAATTCAAAGATTTTATTATAGTAAAAATCTTGTAACTCAATTAATAAAAAGTATTCACTTATGTACACACAGTCTTCTGTTCGGTTCCCCTATGTCAATAATTCAAAGATATTTCAAGAATAGCAAACATTGGAAAAGTTGTTTATTGTTGTCTTCCGTATTCCGTGAATAAAGTGGACATCTCTAATATTCTTTGCAGACCGAAAAAGTTCAGACCATTTCGACTCGACTTCACTTTGCCTTCTCAACTAAGGAACAACGACCTTGTAGGGTTGTTGGACGGTGACAAAAGTGGAAAATTCCTAGCAAGTGTATGTCTTTTTATGAGAGATCAATTTATGGGGTAGTGCATGAGATGCTGAGAAGCACCTTTATACAACGGGTATGGCATTGTGTTTATATATTAAAATTATTTATATCTAAATAAATAGAAAAATTGTAGATTGGGAATTATACTAGCGGCTTACCTAATTTTATTATAGCATATACACACTATTTTGACTTTCAGCATAACAATGACATATATACTTGTTGCATAAAAGTTCTTCTCGTTGTCGCATCCCATAAACCATTGTATTTGTTCGATGGAAAATGCCATAATAATCTGCTGTCATAATCTAATCCAAATCATGAAATATGGAGGGAGAAAAGACATAAAAACAAAACAAAACAAAACATGATCATGGAACAAAAGCTGCATACAATCAAGTCCTGGAATTGTTCCATTGATAGTTTCCCCACCTACAAATATTCAGCATGAAACCAAACCTGCATATTATACAACACTACGATGGAGATTGACAAATTCTTTATTTATTTTCTCTCTCCATCTAAACCATGCATATCTACTACATATGAATTACATATATATTTCTCTTAGTCACATATATTTCCGTCGCATAAGCTTTGTTTACTTGCGTAGCAGAGTTACATAAGGCAACAAGCATTGACATTATCATCATTGAACATGTTGCTAACTTTGTCATCTCCCCTTTGAGTCACTGGAATATTTCCATGTTTGTCCCCAACATTGTAGCCATGCTTATAGTAGTTGTAGCTCTCTTTGAATTCATTGGTTGTGTCCTTAAAATAGTCACTTGAAGATGTGAAGTACAATGGAGGGTTGGGGTAGGGCCAGAACTCAGCCCTTTTTCCAGCCCTCCTTACTGCCTTGAGGACTTTGTTGCGATCAACGTACCCGATTACAATCACCTTTTCCATTGGTAGATCTACATCCACAGAATCAATCCCTGAATACACAACATATACAATTTGTACGCTGTAATTCCCCTATTCCCAGAGGAAAAATCAATAATAATTTCAAAAACAGAAAATGAATGATTATTTTGAAAGTGTACCTCTGAGCTTGAAAATGGCATTTTTCACAACTCTTTCACAGCCAGTGCAGCACATCCTGACTTTGAGCTCCACAGTCTGTAAAGCAAACACGGTTTCAGAACCTGTTCTCATCTTGCAAAAAGCATGTTTTGGTTTTTCCTTCCTTTCTTTTTATTCCTTCATTCTTTTTGTTGTTTTCAAGAAGCTTTATACTTTAAGCAGTTATTAATTAGAAGCTAAAAAGGAATTAAGAAAAGCCATGTTGGGATGCAGATTAAACCCATATACCTCATGAATCATGATTATTCTTGTGTTACAAGAAACGTGATCAATAAAGAGATTAGTACATACATGATTAACAAAATTGGATGGTTGGAGGTCTCCATCATGGTTGGGAACTTAATTTGCTCAAAACATGATGTTCATTACTCTTTGAACCACTTTGGAACGAGGTTTCTTAAATCGATTTCTCTCCACAATTGACGAGAAAGATTTTTGTTCTTTGTTTCTCATATGAATAAAACAAATAGTACTTTAAGGGCTTGTACAAATACATATGTGTGTGTGTGTGTGTGTGTGTGTGTGTGTGTGCATGTTTGTATATACATAGGAAGAGAAGCCATGCATGATGAACTTTCAAGCTACACACATGAGAAACCTTCAAAGAACGAAAGCAAAAACAACGGAGATGAAAGCGAACCTCTAGTGAAAGCGGCCGACCCCTTGGCATGGTGTGTTTGATTTTCCTGTTGATGATGCTTTCGCAGTTGTGGTGATGGTGGTGGTAATGATCTTGGCTGTTAAAGTACGAGTAGTATGCAATGGAAGATATGAAAGAGCCAAATGTTCTCTTTAGTAGGGTTGCCATAACCACAATCTAGTGGTGTATATATATACATAAGAAGGAAAGATATAGATAGGGAAACTCTAAGACAAACCCAGGCCTAGAAGATATTCCTGTTTGGACTTGGCAATTGGCAACCCTTTCCCTTGGGTTTGATCTCCCTTTGGTAATATATTCCAAAGCTGTCTAAAAACAATTCCAACTTAGCGGCTTTCTTCGGGTTTAATCTTGTGGTTTTAGGGAATGGGACTCCCAATATTATTAGAACTTTTAGAGAGGGAATGGTATCCAAATCCTCACATTAATGCTTGAAATGTGGGTCAAGCTAACATGACTGCAGTCACTGAGAAGAGAATATATCCTTTCTTATAAGGATATGGATGAACTTACAAACGAATTGGAAGCTTGGGTTTTTGATGCAAAGGGAAAAATATATTCTAAATATATGTTTTTTAACCATCATTGTAAAAAAAAACTTCTGCACAGTAAGCACCATCTATCTAGAAAGTCTAATAACAAGGTATATTCCCACGGAAAGACAACCTCTCATGATTTTTTCCACCAAATCTCACCAATCAATTAATTTAGGCCTTTGAAATTTGATCAAACGGTTAAAATTATTATCTTTTTAAGGGACCCCCTATTTGTAGCCATTAAATCAAATTTTAAGAGCCCAGATTAATTGATTGGTGAGTTTTGGTGGGAGAGATCCAAAGAGGATATCTTCCCTATTCCCACATTAAGCTATTTGCCTATAGGGGTTTTACATTTTCACAAGCCTATTGTTACATCCCACATTGCCCAGAGAGTAGATCATGTAAGTCTTATATATATATATTCCTATCTCTACTTAGCATGAGGCCTCTCGCGTGAACTTGCTTAACTTCGGAGTTCCGATTACGTCCCACATCGCCTAAGGGAGTGGATCCTGTAAGCTTTATATGTATATTCTCATCTCTACCTAGCACAAGGCCTTTTGGGAGCTCATTGGCTTCAGGTTCCATCAGAACTCTGAAGTTAAGCGAGTTCGCATGAGAACAATCCAGGATGGGTGACTCAGGGTGACCGACTGGGAAGTTCTAGTGTGAGTTCTCAGAAACAATACCGTGAGGGCGTGGTCGAGACCCAAGACGGACAATATCATGCTACAGTGGAATCGAGCCCAAGATGTGATGGGGGTCTGGGCCGGAATGTGACACCTATTATAGATGGATTTTTTCAGAGAATATATGAGTTAGTCAATTAGACAGAGAAGGTCGAGACCCAAGGCGGACAATATCGTGCTACAGTGGAATCGAGCCCAAGATGTGATGGGGGTCTAGGCCGGAATGTGACACCTATTATAAATGGATTTTTTCGGAGAATATATGAGTTAGTCAATTAGACAGAGAAGTGTGTCATGTCTCTTACACTGATCGAATCATAGTAGTTTAAAATATTATAAAAAATAGAATCTTTAGGTTTTATGTACTTTTTAATTTAAAATATCAGCTCGAAGTTCTATCAATAAACTAAATAGCTACAAAATTATAAACAGTCACCAAAGTGCTAAACAAAATAGCTACAAAATTATAAACATGTTTACACTATAAAGTTAATCCTGGTTTATGAAAAGGGTTTGAAAACTTTAAGTTTTAACGATAAAGATAAAATAAAGGGTAAAGTGAATAGTACCAGGATTGACTTTTTAGTGTAAAAATATGGTTTTTCGTTAAAGTGAACAGGATCCGGAACTTTTCGTTAAAGTTCTCAAAATTAAATTGCCATCATTTTGTTTAGCACTTTGGGGACTGTTTATAATTTTGTAGCTATTTAGTTTATTGATAGAACTTCGAGCCGATATTTTAAATTAAAAAGTACATAAAACCTAAAGATTCTATTTTTTTAGTATTATCCTTTAATTCTTAGAATTTAGAAAATAAATGGAAGAATGCTATCCACGTAATCCTGCGTATGCGTTCTTACCTCTTATTACAGGAATTTCGGAATAATTCTGGTTTAATGGTAAGGTTTTGATGCTTCAATATTGTTCTTCTGCCTTTCCTGAATATTTATGCATTATTGTTTAAATTTCGGACAAACTATTCGTTGTGCATGGCAAATAAAACTTTAGGAGACAAATAGTAGAAAAAAAAAAAAAAACTCATCTGAATAAATAATTTACGATGCCATGCATCATCAAGTTTTCTTTTAATTTATTTTTTTTCCTAGTTATACAACGATATTCTCCTCTAACAAGAGGGAGTTTGTGTTGAGCACATAATTGGCCAAGTCATAATTAGATATTGAGCTCAACACAAATACAAAAAGTTTTTACGTTCATATAAATCAAACTTGAGACATTTCTACCAAACTGTAATATACTAGTTCTTCGAAATCAAACACTTTGTATTGTTTTCCTAGTACTGTTGGTGTTGAAAATGCACTGAGACAGCTGGAAAGGCAGGGCGCAATTCACACGTAAAATCTTAGAGGCTCTTTAACAATTAATCCCAACATCCCAATAATATATATTATGCAGCAAGGAGATGAGACATTCTGTCCTAGCTAGAGAATATGGCGATGTAGTTTCAGTGATCACTTTCCGCCATACAATGTGCTCACAGATGCCTGGTTTTCGACATATAACTTTAATAAAACTTTGAGTGAGATTAAAGAATTAGCTGGAGACTTACAGCTGCAACCAGAATTTTTTCTGCTTCAAATCAGAAAATTTCGAAGTTGAGGCGTAGTCGACATGAAGAGCATCGTGTGCTTCTTCAAGATTTAGACCCCCTTTGGTAATTATTTAAATTTTTGTGTTTAAGATATGAAGAAAATATATGGAAGAAATGAGGGACGTAAAAGACAATGAGATCTAGAGAGGGAGAGAGAGAGAGAAGAATTACAGAAGAATAAGTGAAAAGAAAATCTAGAAAGTTAAAATAACTATAGTTTTAGTTGTGGGTTTTTAGTTTTGATTTGTGTCTCCATCCTTGAATGTTTATTCTATATATACCCAACATTCTTTCTCCATTCTATTTTCTTCATTTCTCTCATGTATTTTTCCTCTATTTCAAACACAAATAATGTAGATAAAAAAATTAAAAACTAAATAGTTATCAAATAAGAACCTCAATTTTAGTAAGAGCCTAATTCTATTTCTAACTTATTTTTCAATATTTTTCATGAAAACCTGAATGTTACCCATTGTTCTAAAATTTCCCACTTAGCACCACATAGGCACTAGGCAACTGCCACCTCCCATATTAATCCCTAAGCCTTTAAAAATTAAGAAAGAGCATATGGACCTACTTAGGGGCCCGCTTAAGTCACAACTCTCATTTGCATAGAAAATAGATAATTTTTAATTTGCATTTTATTTTTTCAGTAAATTATATGAGACTTATTGAATACTTGGATAAACACTCATTATATGTTTGTTTCCCATGTTTTCAATATGTCTAATACTTTATACTCTATAGAATTTTTTCCATGTTTTCAGTATATTCTAATACTTTATCTACATATATAAAGTGAGAAGCCCAAATAGATGAAGATTTCAATATTCCAATCATGTCCTTACTTTGATACAGAAAATAATTAAAAACCGCCCAACAAAATAGGGACAAAATAGTAATATTGTACCATTTAGAAATCAAACGTGGAAGAGACAAATTCCACCACGTTTGCAAATCAGTTTTTCTCAAATTGTTAGATATCCTTGCCGAGGAGGATAGGCGGAGGCCATTCCATCAATTTATCTCAAACTGCAGATATCCCAGCGGAGGCCATTGGTAAATGTTATGGTACTGAAGAAGCAGAAAAAAGATGTATGTATAGTGCAACAAGTCATAGCAGTTTCATTATATTTAAAGATTAGAGGTTACGGGCACTAGGTACCACAAAGAGTTTGCTCTCTCATCCAAACGTTAATGACGTTGGTGATTAATTTTAGCAACAAAAATACATTGAAGCCATCGCCATGGATCTGGTGATTGGTGGTGATCGGAGATTGAAAACCCTAGAAACTGGATGTTGACGTGTAGGGTTGAGTTGAGGAAAAGTAACGCGAAACCTAAATGGGCAAACAAAAACATTTGGTACTTCAAGTGTAGGTTGGTTTTCTTCTCTCTCATTTTTTTCTTCTTCTGTTCTTCTTCCTTTTCCAGCAAATTTTCTTGTAACTATAAGCCACGATTGCTTATAAAGTATTAAAATCATAGGGTTTTGCACAAAAAGAGAGGAGAGGCTGACATTTGATGGGTTTCTCTTATTAATTGTTCATTCATTTATCCTTTTTTCTTTGTTTATTAATTTTATTGGCACAAGTTTTTTCATTAGGGATAGAAATTTGGGCAATAATATGCTACTGTGATGTATCTTTCAAGGCTAAAGACACTTCTATGCATGTTTGAAGGAACAATCTGAGTTTGTCAAACACTAGCGTGGTCATACATGTTCGATTTTTCCCAATTGTAATCTTAATTATTCATGTTCTTCACTATCTTGGTTAATTTGCTGCATTTTTATCTTATCGCTTTATTGTGTTCACTTCCAATATCATACTTGGAATCTCAACGCAACATTCCAAATTGAGGAAGAGTAAACATGTAGAATATTTGCATTTAGCTTCTTCTCTATTCTTTAAGTTTGATATATATTTTAAAAAGTGGGTTGAAAAACATAAGTAAAATCATGTGTCATAGTTCCCTTCTAAGAGTGTCAATATTAGCATGGATGTTGGCAATGGCCACAGCTCAAGTCGTGGCTTGAACAAAGAGATGAAGAAAATGAGGGAGGAATGGATGAATAAAGAAGAAGAACACATGAAGGCTGTGGAGTTGGTTTGATAAGATTATGCTGCCAAGCTTGATGATTTGGAGGCTCAAATTAGGTCAGTTTTAATATCAAATTAGCCTTCAAAACAAAAACAAAAAAAATAAAGAAGAAGAAATACTGAATATATGTTGCTAGGTTTATTTTATAGTTTCCATTTTTTTTCCTTGCAAGACTGATTTGGAACATCATGTTTAGCTTCACTCTGTTTATGTGTTTTTCTCTTCCAGGTACGGAGGTTTAAACAATATTAGTTCAAGAATAATAATATTGATCTCTCCATTCTCCCATGGAAATAAAATTTGGGAGGATCAAGAAATGAATATAGATTGAATTGTTAGGTCATTTTGTCTTATTTATTTGTTAATTTTATACTCATAACAACATTTGAACGAGTTTAAGTTTTTTCCTTAATCAAGGTAGAAATTGCTATTTTTTTTGTAGCTAACAATGATCTCCATGCTTATTGTTCTATGTGGGCTAGTACAAAACACTCCAGA